AGCTGGTTGCCCCGAAACGTCGGTAAGAACCTACCTGATGACATGGCGCCACAAATGAGGATGTTGCAGTACATATCTGGGCGTAAGGTGAAGGAATTGAAAAGAAGATGGACAGATCTGTATCACGAGGAGCTTGACGGTTCTTGATCATCACTTAATATTGTTAGGATGAAACAATTAAGAGGATGGATGAGCCGGGCGTGTAGTACGCATGGGTATGATGAGCAGTACATGTAACAGGAAGACGTGAAAGAAAGACGACAGGAGGATAATATTAAAATAGATCTTATAGAGGGTTATGCCGTATAACATGCGTTGAGAAACCTGGTATCTGACAGTGTAGCGCCGGTGATTGAGTTTCGTGGTGATCGTAATGGCGCTGCAATAGTTTTCTCTCCGATTTCCTGCGGTTTTCCCCACATAATCATCATTCCACTGTTGTTCTACGATCATCTGCCCCCTTCCCCCCTCCCCTGTAGCTCCAGTAGATGATGGAGTCGGTTTGTTTCTTAGCAGAGTCCGTAATCTACAAGACTTTACGCCGTCACATTCCACAAGACAGTTGCCTTCAGCTACTTCATGTTCCTGTGTCTCTTTAAGAGCTCTGTTTTAATATTTGCTTGTAATTGTATCTCATTACCGTGTTCACAAGAGACCGTTACTGGACCCTGTCCTGAGCCAGATGAATCCCAGCCCACACCCCACATCCATTCTAATATAGTCCCCCCATCTACTGCAAGGTCTCTTTCCTTCAGGCCATTTCTTCAGCCGTTTCGTCCAGAATTTTGTAGGCAGTTCTCTCCCAAGCGTGCTACATTCCCTGCCCATCGCATCCACCTTCAACTGCTCATTCTAATAAAACTAACGTTTAGCTCAATCTCCCACGAATAACACGCACAAGTAGTCAGTCGTAGACCGTCTCCTTTTTATGGTATAGAACACTTCTACCATACAAATAAAATATTTTCAGTACCCACATAATAGACACGATACAATAGAACAGCTTGATTGTGATACATCCATGGAACGTGTTAACGCCTGACAATTCGTTGACATTGTAACCCCACACTGCGTAATTGCAAAGCTAAATCTTGAAGTTGTCCCTGGGGGAAGGGAGGTATAGCTCCACATTTCTTGACCTCGGCTCCAGATGGAGATGAATGGTCAGCCTCACGTCCCGGTCGCTTTACCCTCGATGAGAAAGAGCCCCCGGTATCAATTGGGTAGGATGCTGGATGGGCCCCAGAACCAGTCTGGAAGTTGTGTAGAAGAGAAAAACTTTCCTCTGCCGGTGATCGAACCCCGGTTCTCCAGCCCGTTGCTGTGCGAACTGAGCTTTCCAGACTCCTAAAGACAGATCTTGCAGTTCCAAAATTGTTTGTGTAAATTATAAGGAAATCATGGAAGAAGCGAACAGGCTCTTCCCTTCGCTAGGGCCTGTAGCCTGTGAGGAAACACTGGTGGGCTACGCGCATGCGCTATAGGTCCAATGCCGCCTTGCAATGAACTGAACATTCAGATCCTCTGAACGTACGTCCTTTTCGAAGGATACGCTTATTATAATGCATAAACCCTACTACACCTTGAGGTCTTACTGGGAAATGTTTGGATCCCAATCGGAGGAAAAGTACGCCTTCCGAATATTAATGGCCTATAATGGCAATTCCATGGTGAGGCACGGTGAGTCCACAGAGGGTGTGCGAGGCAGGCGCCGCGTTGCAAGAGTTGAGTGAAACATCTCAGGTCGCTTACCTTTAGGGCACCATGGTTACCATAAGTATCACCTGATTTAACAGTAAAGAATTACGCATTTTATCTGAACTGTTTGACGTAACGGTAAAATGCTATCCTTATAACAGGCCTTGGAGGCCCATAGGGTTGTGAGACGTCGAGGCTCCCACGTTATCCAGACAATCGGTTCACAGATGGCGGTGAGGTTGTCTTACGCGCCGGCCGCCATTTACCCCCCAGGAAGATTCCTGGTACTCATTTCTGTTAGAGGCTGAGTCGACCCAGGGCCGTAGTGCGGCTGGAAGGATTAGGTAAATTGAAAAATCGAGAACATCAGGGATCGAACTCGCAACCTTCCGGCTTGTAGCATAGTGCCTCTACCGCGTGTTCCCAGAATTATAGGGCCCTCTTGTTAAAACTCGTATTTCGGAGGTGCTTGATCCTTGACAGGGGCAACGACTGACCTGACTCAGATTTTCCGTGGTTTTCTCAAATTCCTCGCGGGGAATTCCGGTTACGTAGCGATCGCTTCCTTCCTAATTGTTTTAAATTCGCTATTCAGTAGTCATCCTACCATTTGACGCTACAGATTCTAGTTAATGACAACGTCGCAAAATTACCCACGATCCACAGTGGTTGCTATATGTACCACCTGCATCAACACTTCAAAACTCTGCATTCTGCCCACACAATGTATGTATATTCCATATGGTTCTCACAATAAACAGCGATTATTTCCCTAAACAGCATTAACCGGTTGAGCTCTGTAGTGGAGACGTAATGTGTTTCCTGTGAGGTACGGACTGATTACTTATATAGCCGGAATATTTCAGTCAATGTAGTGGCTGTCAAGCATACGACCGTTCAGGTGACTAGACTGCGTTGTAGCGGAAACTACTGGAAATAGGGCATAATCTGCTTACTGAACCTGGACTAGCAGAAGCCCTGTATATATTTTATATACATTTATTGACATGTTTAACATGTGAAATGTAGATATCCTTTACATTATGACAAATGACTTACTACTGCAGACAATGACTCTGACAAAAGACCTACCCGTCCTCTCGTCAGAGAAGGCGTCCCACAAAAAAAAAAAACCGTGACTGTCAAACAGTAATAAATATCTGGTTATAAGCCCCAGATTGGGCTCGACACCAAGACTGACTGACTGACCGTCAGTCGGAATGTGACTTTGACTTTGTCAATATAGTGACTAGGCTACGATTTGGGGTTCGATTCGCGGTAGGGGTAGATATATTTCTTCTCGCCGTATCTGTCCCCTGTAATATATAAACGCAGAATGTTTACGGACTGATTTCATATTCTCATAAACTGTGTAGTCTTTAACACATTATAATTGTGACCTTGATTCTTCCCTCAAGGCTATCGGAAACGTGGTATTTCTAGCGCACACACAATAAAACCATATGAAAGTATACATGCGTTGTCGTCATTCTTCTGGATCATTCATTCAGATTATTATACTATTTCAATGTTAACACTTGTGAACGTCATGTTTTTCACACTACAAAGGTAATTTTCAAAGTCCCCTTATCTTTGAGGCATTTGAGGAGACCTTGAAATTAAGGCTGGCTTCTAAAGAAACAACTGTTCACTGTCAAGTAAAAGTTTGATTGCTTAATGAGAGATATACTGTAGCAGAAACTCACTCGAAAAACTTTCAAGGAATACCAACGTAAAAATAATTGCGGGTTTAGAAATGTGTAGGATTAGTGTTCCTATTTCTAGAATTCCATGCACGTGCTAATCCATCGCGCTGGAGTCTAAGTGATTTTGCTATAGTTGGTAATGGAATATTTTGATGAGCATATACTTGCAACGAGCTGATCACAGTGACTGCGCAGTCTAAGGCATAAGCCATCTTCGTCCGCTCGTTCACTGGGATCGTGAGATCGAATCCCATTCGAATCCAACATTCTATTCTGTGTTTGTGTTGTTCTGTGTGTAAGTAGCAGCCTTGCAATGGGCTGATCCCCCGTCCAGGGCGTCCTACCGACTGTGTAGATTAAAAACTGAAAAAGTGACGAAGGTCCACAAGGGCTGTAGATCCATATACGAGTATAAATATAAACATTAGCAATGCACGCGGTTATGGCCACAGGTGGCGCTAAACGTTGATTTGTCACATATTTAGTGTCGGTCATTGTTAATGGAAGGTAATGATTTAAACTTCTCTTTATTTTACATAATTTTAAATATGAATGTATTTGAATTGATGCATATTCGTCAATATAAGGTTGCATAAGAAATGATATTTTGTTAAAAGCTATCTCTATGCTTAAATAATTAAGCAACATTCTGTGTAAACGTATGGGGGAGTGGAAGCATTGCTCCACCGTTCATAACATCGTCACAACATGGAGGTAAATATAAGGTTATCACAGCGATGAGTATGAAGATTTCTAATTTCTAGGACGTAATGTGTAGTCCGTTGAAAGTCAATGGACTTATCGGAGGAACACATCGCCTCCATCTTCAGGGTCGAAGAATACGCGAAGCAAGAAACCAACTTGAAGGCAGATGGCAAGCAGAGCAATCGGTTTGCCGAAATTTCGGATCCTGTAGGAAAGAGGAGGGAAATAGAAGACAACGTCATTTCCCGTTGGCTCGCTCGTAGGACAAAATGAACCGCCAGTAACCATTGGCTGTCTCACACAACAGAGCGAACCAATAGGAGACACGAGCAGTGCTAGTGTAGGAGAAGATAGAAGGGAAGTGGGCAGGGAAACGAGGAGTGTGGAAGAGAATTCGTGTACCGCTGTCCCAGGCATGACGTGAAGGAAGTTGGAGCAGAGGTAGTGGAGGGAACTCCGAGAGTGTCTAGGCATAGGGCTGATGAGTGCCGGGAGAGGGCAAAGTTGGTGTCCTACGCGGACCTACCACCTGCTGCCTCACAGCAACAAAATGTTTCGATAATGTTATACGTAAGCAGTATCGATATTAAATTCCATATCGATTGATATCTGTAATGAGAGTGGAGCTCGTTTGCATTGCTATTAATGAGGAGCTTCATAACTTGTACTCTTCTCCAAGTATAATTAGAATGATCAAGTCAAGGAGGATGAGGTTGGCGGGGCATGTAGCACGAATGGGGGAGACGAGGAATGCATATACGATATTGGTGGGAAAGCCAGAAGGAAGGAGACCACTGAGAAGACCAATGCTAGGTGGGTGGATAATATTAAAATGGATCTGAGAGATAGGATGGTATGGTTGAGGATAGAAACCAGTGGAGGGCTCTTGTGAACACGGTAATGAACCTTCAGGTTCCATAAAATTCTGGGAAATTCTTGTGTAGCTGCAGATTTGGCTTCTGAAAGAGGGCCAAGCTCCGTAAGTAAGGAAGGTAATTCACGATATGTATTTCATATATCTTCACTTTCAGGTGTATTAAGAGTGAAGTGTCAATATCTGCTGGGTTGGTTCTGGTGTTAGGGTTGTTTCATCTTGCGATGTTGGTACCGTAACTGCAGAACTCTCAGCCGTTGTCCTGCTGGGCGGTGAGTTCGTGTCCATCTGCAAATAAAACTATTCTATAGCACCTTACTTCTCGTCCGCTTTAACATTATGCAGAAACATATATATCTCTGTATACTTTGGAATCTTAACGGTGCTGCGTGATATTGTGATGAACAGTAGTTTCTCTGTCTTCAGCTGTTCTCATTTTCATGAAAAAGTTATTATTTTGAAGAACTTCTTGAAACGTATATTTCACATTCTTTCAATGCTGTGCTGTGATTACGCGAAGCAGGTCATTTAGTGTGCACGTAATGACATTGTAGCCTACAAACTCCTAGACAGATTTTGTTAAAATTCGATACGACAGACCTTCTCTTGAGTAACTGCATAATTGGCGGCTTCTGAAGAAGAGCTCAGCTCCTTGAAGTTAGTTAGTTAGTTAGTTACGACAGACGTTCACTATAGCATTCCATTATTACCTTTAAGGAACTTCAGAGAACGCCTTTGGTAATTATTGTGTATTAATATTGTCACATGTATGAGTGACTACAGACGGGATGTAGCTTGAATATTGGATTTATTGACCACTTACAGGTCATAACTACAAATAACTATAATACAATCGCTGATTTACACAATTTACAAATCGTACACGCTAAGCCTTTCCCAGCCTTCTGTATCCATATCAGCCGTTCCCTGGCAACGGCTTCTAACAGTGTGATTCTTCACCTTCACCCACCCAAATCCTCTCCTCACAGACTCCCGTGCAACTCTTCGGCACTGACCGAGTAGGAAACCCCGTTTCCAGTAGTTCCTATATTGTTGCGCGTCGATTCATTGCTGTGGGAATGTGTACACTGAGCCGCTGCCCAGAAACGGCTATGGTATATCCTCCCATCCCACAGTCGTTACATAGCAATGGCTCTAAACGTTATAATACTTACTTACTTATGGAGTTGAGCCCTTCTTGAGGAGAAGCCAAATCTGCAGCTACTCAAGAATTTCCCGGCATTTTATGGAACCCGAAGGTTCATTACCGTCTTCACAAGAGCCCTACTCTGGTCCCTATCCTGAGCCAGATCAATCCAACCCATACCATCCCATCCTATATCTCTAAGATCCATTGTCCACCTATTTGCGCCTTCGTGTTCCCAGTGGTCTCTTTCCTTCTGGCTTTCCCGCCAATATGCTATATGCATTCCTCTTCTCCCAAATTCGTGCTACATGCCCTGCTCACTTCATCCTCCTTGTCACAATATTATGGAGATAAATTAGTGACTTTTCTCAGTCTTTCCAGGCAAATGCTGGGATTTTATTTCAGTTAGGCGATGGTAGCTGCCTTCTGAAACCTTTAAAGTTCATAATTCCCTAACCATTCTACTGGGACTACCATTAAATAGCCCAGATGAAAGTATTGACCGAATACTCACCCAGTCAGAGGAACTGGTGCTCTGTGTAAGCACTGTGTAATTCTTCATGTTCTCGTGCAGAATAGTGAGGAGTGGGTTCCTTGGACCGCAGGTACCACGAAAGTCATCTGAAGCTAGGGCCCACGTCATTGCTCCAGCGTATCCCCCCTCCTTTATGAAGTCCATCTTTATCTGTATGCTTCTGGTGTTCTCGTATCCTACCCACAGGTTCCCTGTCAACATGAAGCATTGCGTGTCCAGAACTTGGTGACGGTCACGTAACCAGGAGCTTCATAATTCGCACTCCGGTTTAGCTTAGTATGTGTATCGACTACACTGCGGGCTGGAGTGCCAGGGTTCTGTTCCATGCCGGGTTTTGGGGCCCACACAGCTTTCTGTGCAATGGCCACCGGCCGAGGCATGAAGCTGACCACTGTCCTCCATCTAATGGCGAGGTTAAGGATGGTGGAGTTATACCTCCACTTCTCCATATGTATGCATGGCGTGGTGCTTATATAGTTAAGTACAGGAATAACCTTAAAAAATATAAAGTTAAAGCTATCCCTGTAACAGACCGTGAAGGCCCACAGGGTTGTGAGACGTCGAGGCTTCCGCATTTTCTTTAGACAATCGGCTCACAGATGGCGGTGAGGTTGTCTTACGCGCCAGCCGCACTTTACCCCCAGGAAGATTCCTGGTACTCATTTCTCTTAGAGGTTGAGTCGACCCCAGGACCATAGTGCGGCTGGAAGGATTAGGTGAATTGAAACATCCAGTGACATCGGGAATCTAACCCGCGACCTTCCGGCTTGTAGTATAGTGCCTCAACCAACTACGCTATCACGTACCTCTTCCTTTCGTTATGTGGAGATATTTTTTTTTTCCTTGGCACTACAGCCCCAGTGGGCCTAGGCCTACCTCCATGAACTTCTCCGTTCACTTAGGTTTTTCTAGATCTTACACATTCGGTAGGACTCCTTGGGCAGGGGATCAGCTCGTCGCAAGGCCTCTACCTGTACACAAACACAGAAAAACGCACACACACAAACTAAACATCCATGCCCTGAGTGAGAATGTGGAGATATTAGGATGATAAAATCAAGGAGGATGGGATTTGCATGGCATGTAGCACGCATGGGGAGGAAGAGCAGTTCGCACAGAGTTCTGGTAGGAAAACGTGAAGTAAAGAAATCATTGGGAAGTCTTAGGCGCAGATGGGACAATGATATTAATATGTCTGAAAGAAAAATGTTGGGAGGTCATGGTCTCAATTCACCTGTTTAAGTATACGAAATAGTGGCGAGCTTTTGTGAGCACGGTAATGAACTTCAGGGTTTTAATGGAACTAGGAACTTCACTGCCGTGTTCAGAAAAGGCCACCAACACCAAGCAAGTCACAGAGAAGGCTCGTTCAAGGCAGACAGTTTCTGATTTTATTTGTGAGGTGCTTGGTTCGAGGCTTGGCGAGGAACACCAACTGTCCTAGCAGTTTCTTCGTGGTTTTCCGGATCGTGTCCCGGAAACTGCCGAAATAATACTTCGACTTGTGCCACAACCACGTCCACATGCTTGGAAATTCATTATTCGCTATCAAATCGTTCGACGTTATATAGATTCAGCTGCTGATATCTCGTTAAATAAACTACAAAATTTCACTTTGTACGGACTGAATGCTTGCGTACCTTTATATGCATATGGACATTTGCCAAAATCGTCCCATTTCTCTGTCCACTCACTGTTTTGTTCTTGAAGAGCTCTGCATATCTGTAACATAATTCATGTATCGATTATTGGATTATATTTTACGCTAATGGTACTGTCATATGCATGAGTGTGACTATAGACGGGGTTTGCTAATATTGGACACTTCAACACACAACTCATGACTACACTTTAGAAATCATACGAGGACTAGTGTTCTCAGTCACGGTCTTCAGTGCCATTGCTTGGTAACGGCTTCCAACGGCAGACGTTCCCTTTACTCTGGATTCCCGAACGGTCCCGTGCCTCAGCCACCAGCTTCTCACAGCAACAGCTCACAACTGAACCGCAGCAGTTCTCTAACTCACTGCAACTGATAATTGGTCCTTGTTATAACACCTGGGCACGGACCGCGTATAAAACGTCATCTATTGCTGTGTTCTGTCGTTGCTGTGGAAACATGATTGTTTGAGAAGCTGTTACTTAGCAGTGGCTGTTGTATAGTTGCTTCTTTCTCCGTCGTTGCCTAGGAAGGAGTCTACATGCAACAATACATTCCATTGTCTGTTTTTATTTCTCTTAATTGTTCTAAGATTTTAATTTATTAATTCTAGTAATGTGGTATACTTTATTTTTAAGATGAAAATTTTATTAGCAATATATTTTTGTAGAATTTTAAATTCTCACTGCGGTAGTTACGAAGAGTGCTACTTTCTGGAACATAACGCCGTGTAATCCGTTGAAACACAGCCGACGTTTCGGAGGAACATATCGCCTCCATTTTCAGGGTCGGCTTGCCAGCAGCTTTCACGCTAATATCTTGCTCGGATTATTTCTTCCTGAAGATGGAGGCGATATGTTCCTCCGAAACGTCGTTTCGTTTTCAGCGGACTACACGGCGTTATATAGGAGTCGGGGTAGTGTAGTCGGTATAACGACTGGCTACGGGCTGGACGACAGGGGTCGTAATTCTAGTCCCAGTAGAGTCAAGAATTTTCTCTTTTTCAAATTGTGCAGACCGGCTCTGGGGTCCACTCACTCTCCTATCCAGTGGGTACCGGAGGCTCTTCCTCCGGGGCTAAAGCGGCAGGGGCGTGAAGCTAATCACTCACCTCCAACTAGTGCCGAGGACAAGAAAATGTGGATCTATGCATCCACTCCTCCATGCGCCTTTATGGCGCGCTGCTTAATTAGCTAAACACAGGGACAGCTTTACCCCTTGCACGTTACTATATCGCAGAAGATATCACTCGCGCAAGTTACGTAATCTGTTATTGAAATTAATGCGAATAAACACGTTGCATGGCAGTTTGTTTGCTTATAAAAAGTAGTAAATATTTGTTGGTAGTTCCTACCTGGTTGTAAGGCATCCCTCCTGCAACTTTGGCGTCCCTGTCGATGGGAGTGCCTGGTTCGTAGCTGGTACTGTTAGGACTCAGTACATAGGCATGCCCGTAAAATGGGACTCCCAGCACAAGCTTATGTGCAGGACAGCCCATGTCCACCCAGAGCTGAAGTCCGCCAGCCTGTGTAAAACACAAAGTGACTTCTCTTATTTAATGGATGCAGACGGAAATACAAGTCGCTGTTTCCGAATTCCAGGCTCTAAAGTATTGCTCTTCGATTCAAATTATAAGGTGTGTGGTCTTCGGTTGTTTTGTAACTCATCACGTGATTAAACGAGTCATCGTTTCCTCTTACGGTTTTATGAAAAAGAAGGATTTCGGATAGTTTTACTATGCTTTGAGAATTAGAAGACGGTGTCAAACATCGGAGTTTACGCAGAAAAACTAAAACATTTTATGTTTTAAAAACATTTATTTGTTTTAAGTGAGAGGCAGTGAATGGCGACTGTGAAGAACCAGTGTAGTCTGTTACTTATCAACGTTTCGGAGTAGAGTACAGCTTCCATCTTCAGGGTAGATGCGTAAGGTGCGTGGTAGGTAACCGTTTATGATATAAGTGAGGATAATGGCCGCTTTCTTTTTACAGTGTTGGGTACAGTTCTCTTAATACGATAATTTTATAAAGACCCTTTTCATCTCTTTTAGTATGTTTCCATGTACTGCACAAGCTAATAAAGTGTTACGAGTTTTATCAGTAGCGGAGTTATGAAGTATGCTCTTTGTGTCTTATTTTGCACTTGTTCGAACATGAAGCATACTTACAACATTGACGCTTTCCAAGTCACCTTTATCGTGCGGTCTCTTATATAACGGGCTATGCACATCAGCAAATCCATCCCAAATGCCTCTCATATCATACGCCATAAGGTGCACAGCATTGGAAAGCCTGCAACAACAAGATCAAGGCAGTACGTAACAGTGGAAATAAAACGATAAATCTGAATTGTCTCATTGTCTTAAGTTCTTTCTCCACGTGTTCTTGTGGCTCGTCATAGCGAATCAGGATCAGTCGTGTGGCTGCGTGGAAAGAGCTCTATTTAGACCACTGGTTCGCTGAGACGCGCCTTAAACCCTCGTGGTAAAAGCGCCCCCCCCCAAAAAAAAAATAAATTAGAGGAAATTATTGGAACGCCATAAAATTAATTTTGTTATTAACAAACAATTATAATTGAGGTTATTACAGCGGTGACTGTGAAAATTGACTTGTGAGATGCTGCCTCCATCTTCAGGGTGGATGAAGCAGGCAGCATATACCTCTGGTATTTTTTTATGGTTTATTTAAAGACGCTGTCAGTAGCTAAGACTGTATGGAGTCGAACGCTACGATCTGTGAACAGTGACTTGGGAAGGATGTCGAAGGAAGCGGTCGTGACCTATTGTAAAGTAATATCCCCAGAAGTTTCCTAGAGAGGTTGGGAAAATGTAAGAAAATGTAATAGTCAATGTTCTGGCCTGGATTCGAACAGAGCATCTCCCGAAAATAAGTCATAAGCGTAAGCAATTGAGCAAAATATTTTCGGTCGAAATGTCGGTGATTATAGTATACTGGACTACACGGTGTCACATCTCAGAAGTCTGCATAGTCACGGCCGTGGGAACCTCAAGTATTCATTTTTGCTTCGTGCAACTTACCGACAGAGCTCAGGGACGTTGTATCCATCCTCAAGTTTGCGCTTCGTGAGAGGGACGGCCATAGTGATCTCCCATCCATAGCCCTCGTATTCGAACGCCGTTCTCAGTTCTTCAACAAGAGACAAGAAATTGTCCTTGTCAGAAGGATTACCCCCTCTCTCCTTCGCCCCAGGATATTCCCAATCCAGGTCTATTCCATCAAATCCATATTCGTGCATGAAATCTACAAGAAATTGCACATCTGACAGCCATTCCACTTTATATTTTTTGTATCATGTGTATTTGGGCAATGTTGCCGACGTTTCGGAGGCACATCCTGCATCAGTCTTCGAGGCCGAATTGAATAACAGGAGTGTTAGTGTATATGTAGGTTTTTTTTTTTGGCCAGCGGACCCATTGGGGCCTGTGCACAGTGGAATGCCACGAAAAGTTACTTAAAAGGGTCGTTTTATCAATATTTCCCTGTCCAATGTCTCTCTTTTCTCGTACTGGAAACCCCCCCCCCCTCGTGCATCAATTGGACCAAAAACTATGTGCATAACGGCTCAACCAGTACGCTTCTACTTTCAAAATGGAGGTAGCATGTACCTCCGAAACGTCAGCAGTATTTAGCACATCAGCATGGTACAAAGACTCGGTATTAACAATGAAGCATCGTGACAAATCTGGCATAGTGAATACCCTAAGTTGCGCCATTTCTGGCACGGAGAAAATGGCCGACAACATCCAGAAAAGCTTAAGACTAAGGTTATGTAACAAATCATGACCATTATCTCTTTAATTCTTTTATTTTGCACATGAGTGTTTACGAGACAAACTTTGTTCCGTATGTTGCTTAATGTCTCATAAAAATGTTTCACAGGATCAAGTTTATGGCTGAAAGAAATATGTGTGTATGCATATATGTGTGTGCCAGTCCTGATGTCTGTATATAACTACATTACTGACATGTTTAACGTTTAAAATATGTATAATCCACTTTTTAAAGATGCATAACGCATAGTTCTTAACGACCTACATTTACAAAAAAAATAGTTCTCTGCTTAGTTACAATATTTATTTAAAATTAATTAATTGGAGGGGCCCGTTGGAAATTCAACGGGAAGTCTCATTGCTTGTTATACACAACATTACCCGCAAGCAGATGAGCGTGTCTACGGCCACTTGCCGCAAGATGGTTGCCCATTGGCCTACAGCCGTAGCGTTCACGAGCTGGGCATCCCTCATCTCCTAACTTGAGACAATCAGAACGAAAATATCATGTTTCAGTCATGAACGCCGTCAAGTGGCGCCTCCATCGGCGTTCCCTAGAACTCCTTGCAAGTGGCGTGGAACGGCTGTTGTTACGTGTGTTGAATGTAACCATAACTGCTGCTTAGTTTCGGTACAGTATAACAGAGACATTGCTTCATCCTTACCCACGACACTAGCCACAAAAACAGCTCTTCTCTCCTTGACTGATACGAGAGCCGAATATTTATAACCACCTTCAGCCCAACCTCCCACCGATAACAGAGTCTTCAGTCCTGGAAATTTCTCTTTGATGTCTGTGAAGTTAATGTAACCGCTCAGTTCCATATCGACCTATGAAATAATAAAATTTAATGTAAGTATGTAATCACGAACATAGACTGTGGCTGTTGAGAATATTTGTACCGAAGAGAGATGAAGTGACAGGAGGTTGGAGAAAATTGCATACTGAGGAGTTTCATAACTCGTACTCCTCTCCAAGTATAATTAGAATGATCAAGTCAAGGAGGGTGAGGTGAGCAGGGAATTTAGCACGAATGGGAAAAAGAGGAATGCACATAGGATATTGGTGGGAAGGCCAGAATGAAGGAAAGACACCACTAGGAAGACCACGACATAGATGGGCGAACAATAGTAAAATTGACCTTAGCTGGGTTGGGGTGGTATGGTCTGGATTGATGTGGCTCAGGATAGGAACCAGTGGAGGGCTCTTGTTAACACGGTCATGAAAGTTTCGTATAATTATGGAAGTTCTTGAGTAGGTGCACAATTGGCGGCGTGTCAAGAAGGGCTCAGCTTCATGAGTGTGCAACCAAAGCAACAAAATTACTTATGTCTAGCCTAAAATAAATGTTCGCCTCTTTAGTTGCAACTTGTAGCTCAGCTGTGCAAGTCGAAGCGACTGAGTCTGCAGCCATCTGCTAACGCTGGTTCCTCGCTCACGGATTTTTATACCCTGAAGATGGAAGTTACACGTTCCTCCGAAACGTCGGTTTACACAATACCTACACGGTTCCACATCCCAGAAGACAGCATTGTTCGCGTTATACGGATGTTACATCTGTCCGTCTCTTTATCTGTGACGTGGTATCAGCGCGAAAACCATCTGATATTTTATTATATAGGAAACCTTCCTGAAAACTTTTCGAAAATTACAACTTGCAGCCATATTGATTTATAATAAAACATAGTTTACATAATACCACAAATGATTTTTCTCCATATATTTCAAGGAAATAACGTCTCCGGTCTAGAAAACCGAGATTAACGGCAGTGGGGAACCGGTACGCTGACCACGTGACACCCTCTATCCGCAAAAGTTGGCAGTAACTTCGCCGACAAGCGGCGGTCGCTCGGTCAGCATAGTTTGCTTGCGGACTACAAACCACGGAGTTTGTTTTATATTCTATTAATCGTTCCATAGATAAATTTGAAATTCTATATGGGAGACTTTAATGAAAACTTGTCGAAAATTCCAACTTTCAGCCATCTTGATATGTAGTAAAGCTTGGTTTACATAACGCCATAAATGTATTTTTGCCTGCAGCTTATAAACCATTCCACGGATACGTGAGATGTTCAGTCCTTTAAATTCCTTTATGCTTTTATGCTTTTAGCTAAGCATAATGGACTTTACTGAAGGTCAGTGGTAATTTTGTGCACAAGATTATAGAGTACACCATTTGTAGTCATGTTTCATATATAATACAGGGTGATTCTGAATTATTGTATGATTATTATTCTGATTTAGAATCACTGTATATATGACATTAGTTATATGTATATATTTTTTTTTGTCTCACCTCTGGGTCCAGGGCCAGGAGGTCCCATGTTACGTTATTCACGCCGGCGAAAGAGTACAGCACATGCGTACACAGGTCCCCTGGTATGTCCTCCACAGTATAGCGCCCTTCTTTTGGGTTCTTGATAGCCCAGCTCTCGAAATAGCAAGCCACTCTAGCCGGATTATCTCCTAGTCAATCATGATTGGTCACGTTCAAATATCGCGAATCAGAATTCTTCTAAGATGCTCAGCATTGATGTTTCCAAAACAGTTTACGTTAATTTTGATTATATTTTATTGCATATTTAACCAATTTCGTGTTACGGACAGTCTAATTTCGTCATGAAATTTAAATACGTGTTTTGTAGTTTTTTTATCGCTAGTGGAGTGGGACTAAGTCCCTTGCACTGCGGCCACTTCTGGCCTATTGTACCAGCCTCAGATGATAGGTGAGAGTGATTGTGGAGCAATTGTTGGAATGAAGATTGGGAGGGGAAACTGAAATACTCGGAGAAAACCTGCCCCAGTGCAACTTTGTCTCCCACAAATTCCACTTAACCAAACCCGGGATCGAACCTGGGCCGCCGCGGTGGCAAGTCAGCGACTAACCGCTTGAGCTATGGCGCGGTCCTGTTTTGTAGTTAGTTCATACCGTTCTGTATAGATGGCTCTGCAATATGTGATTTATGTAGTTCATTTTACTATGGTGTAAATACCTACATTATACGTAACCGTTTAATGTAGGGACACTGATGAACTGGAAAGGATTTTGAAGGAAGGGTAGTAGTACAGGGTGTTCAATGAAGGAGGAAACTTCGCAACACCGCTGATCGGCCCCAACATTCCTCACAGATTGCTGCTGTAACTATAACGGCGCGCGTTTATCAGCAGTTACAGCAGAAATCTGTGAGGAATGTTGGACCGGATCAGCGGTGTTGCGAAGTTTCCTCCTTAACTGAACGCACTGTATAATTATGTAATATCATGGAATTTGCGTGGAGGGACTGAGAAATGCCGCGAAAGCATCAGTCCAAAGCCTACACAAGGGAACTGTGAATAGAGAGCATAAAACAGATATGAACTGTCTTCCTTACTCTGCAACAAGTCAAGTGACAGGGTAGAAGTGAAGCCCTTAACTTAAAGTCAGAGAATGTGATAGTATGCTGCGTGATCAGGGCTATAGCACACCTCTGGAGGCGGTGATAGACGAATATGAAGTAATGATAGAACTGTGATTATCTGGGGAAATAGAAGAAACTTGGTTCTGTTCCACTTCATCCACTGCGAATCTCACGTGAAGCCGCCCGGGATCGAACCCGAGACTTTTGGGTGAGAAACCGACGCCCCTCTAAACTAAACATGACTGAAATATTATAATGTGAATGAATACCAAACTTCACGGCGCACTTAGATTCTCATACCTAGAAATAAGGCACTTCACGAAATTGGTTAGGTTCTTCTATGCTGCTTTAAATACTGTAATTGAATTTTTAGAATAATTACCTGCAGTGGGCTGCGCTGCTTGTAGGAGAAAGGTACCACAGATGAAAGCCGTTAGCAGCGTCGTCATTTGTATTAATTGCCGTAGATATTAAGCAGCACCAAGTGACCCTGTAACAAATATACGCTTATGTAGATTTCTTAAACTGTATCTAAAAAAGGCAAGATAAAGTTGCCCCTGTGCTTAACTAATTAAGCACTACGCCATGAAGGCGTATGGGGGAATGGATGTATATATCCACATTTTCTTGACCTCGGCGCTAGTTGGAGGTGAGTGATCAGCTTCATCCTCCGGCCTCTTTACCCCCGGTAACCATTGGATAGAAGGTCTGGACGATGTGGAGAAGTGAAAATTTTTATCCCTATCGGGACTTGAACTCCGACCCCTTTGTCGTCCAGCCCTTAGCCAGTCGCTATACTGACTACGCTATCCCGGCTGCAAACTGTGTCTAAAACATATTTTAAAGTACGTCATCATCAGACAGTGACGTAGATCGTTACGTCATTAGTGGAAAGTGACTAGACTCTATTTTGGGATCCCACTGAATACCCATTTCTTTCATAAGTTTGCCTACTGAACGTGTGACGTACCCTCAGAAATGATTTAGACAGACTATAGTACACTTGTTATAGGTACTATGATGAGACTGTCTACTTTGGTTGACAGGTACCGACGTTTCGAAGAGACCTGCTGCCTTACTTACGGTACTCCAAAAATACAGGCAGGTTCCTTCGAAACGTCGGTACCTACCTAGCAAACGACACGTTCCGAGGACACTGCACTATTCGTACTGTAGCACTTTATAATATTTGTTTCAACGTTCATAGAAGTAGCCAGAAAATTATCAAATTTTGTAAGAAATTTCTCTAAGAATTTGACAAGTTTGTAATGCTTTTCTTCGATAACGTTCTTAATTCCTTTAAAACTCAAAATATACATCCGCAGTTCTTTAAAAACACAATTGTAACAGTATGTACCACCTACTTAGGATTGAAAATGAATTTTACCCACACAGTGTCTTTATGTGCTTCATAAGGTTCTCACAATAAACAGCGACTGTTCCCCCAAACAGCATTAACCGGCTAATTTTTATAATACAGATGCAAAGTGTTTCCTGCGAGGTACGAACTGAAATCTTGTATGCTGTTTAGGCTCTGAAGTGTTAATGTTGCTCTGACAAATGACAGAACCGTCCTATCGTCAGAGAGGGCGTTCCACAAAAACAAGACGGAAACTATCAAACAGTAATAAATATATGGTCATAAGCCCAAGATTGGGCTCGACACCAAGACTGACTGACTGACCGTCAATCACAATGTGACTTTGACTTGAAAGTTAATGTTATGTATGTAATTCATAAACACTGCTTGATGCTTGGGTTTCTCGTCGACCAGGAAGACGGAGGCACTTATTTCCTCCGAAATGTCGGTATACCTCCACCAGACTACACGGCTTCATATTGTAGAAATCACCACACACGGCTGTGTCCTTACCTCGTGTCCCTTCTTGCCCGTAGAATGAGTCTAACTGAGCAAAGGAAGATGTAGAATATATCAGCTTACCTTAGAGACTGTAACAGTTATTGACCCTAGCATCACGCACATCAGTGAGGAGGCCAGCTGGAGACAACAGGCGTTAGTGTCTGTTATTACAGACCGGTTTGGGCCATTAAGAAGCTGGGGCCGCCTTCAGGTCTAAGAAGAGAATGTTGGGGAGATCCTACGAGGAAAAAAGTAACAGGAGTCTGGAGAAAATTGCATAATGAGGAGGTTCATAACTTGTGTTCTTCACCATATATTATTATTAGACTGTTTCGGTCAAAGAGGATGAGATGGACACGGCATTTAGCATGCATGGGAGAGAAGTGCATAGAGAGTTTCGGTAAGAAAACCGGAAGTAAGGAGCCACTAGAAAAAAAATAGGCGCAAATGGAAAGCTAATATTGTAGTGTAAACCCGTTGCTAAGCCGTAACTCTGTAAACAACGACAGTTTCTGGGCAACGGCTCGGTAAACACGTTCCCGCTGCAACAAATACGCACACAACAGCGTTACTGTTGGAAACGGGGTGCTTCTACGTGATACGTGCTGAGATGTTATAAGCAAGGGACAAAGTCAGTTGATAGGCAAACCCGTGTGGAGGTGGGGTCGAAACCTCCATCATGACCCTGTGAGTCGTAGGAGGCGACGAAAAGGGAAGTCTCAAATCTGAGACAGTAAAATATGGTCGCGAGTTCCAAGGGACTCGGACCAGAGAAAGACTGCGCTGGCAAGGGCCAGCAGCATATACAAAAGACAGACCCGTCCTCTCGTTAGAGAGGGCACTCCACCAGAACAAGACTATAACTGTCCAGAAGTAATAAATATCTGGTCATGAGCCCGAGTATGGTTCAATATCAAGATTTAACTGATTGACTGACCGTCAGGCGCAATGTGACTTTAACTTTGACCTGTGTAATCAAATGTAAACACACAATATAATTTTGGGCATGTCCATCGTCCTGTGTTTTTCGAACAGGTTTCGGAAACTTTATCCGTGGCCGTCACTGAATGTAGGGGAACAAAGATTCCTGCCCGAATGGACCCGTTGGAGAGACGTCATCTCGCTTACTGCACTGCTTTCAAATGTGTTACCCTAGAACCCAGCAAGGGGAAACAACTGATCACAGTGCCACTTAATCCACCTCGAATTTAACATAAAGTGGCCCGGGTTTGAATTTAACGCTGCGTGGTAAGGGCCGAATCCCTCGAGCTGTGATACCTCTTGAAATGCCAAACAAAACCTGCATTGCTTCCCTGGCAAATTTTATTATCGAAAATATTTTTAATGGCAACAAAACCCACTAACAGATCTTCCGGGGTGTAATGCCTTGCAGTCTGGTGAATGTCAGTTGACGTTTCGGAGGTACATATCGCCTCTGCCTTAAGGGTCAGGCAAGATACCTGCATGAAGCAGACAGCAAACAGAGGCGTTATATCCAAAAAAGGTGAAATTCTTCCTAGTTATCGCTGTGATAACCTCTTAGAAGGGTAGATAAGTGTCAGAATAGCTGGAGGAACTACTAATACAAATTGTGGCTTCCGGGTAGACAGAACTTGAGCATGCCGTTTTCTTTTATTTAGAAAATATTGGAAGACGGTATACACTTAGCTGCGCCTGAACGATTTAGTTCCGGTATTCTCCGTTAGATATCAGCGCGATACAGATACGTGGCCAACCAGCAGCGCTACATATGGTTAGAAGTCTTACTATTTATATCGAAGTTTGCTTTCAGAAGGTAGTAAAAGATGGCGCAAATGTTCAATAATATTAAGAATATTAAAATGAAATTGTCGAAGGTTCATTACCGTGTTCGCAAGAGCCCGCTTGCGTGTAGTCTACATGCTGACAGCGTCTTTAAATAAGCAACAAGAATCCGCCACTGGCCTCTATCCTACACCAGTTCACACACTTCTATTACTTATTTACTTACTTACTTACTTTTACTCATCTAGCTGAGCCCTTGTGGAGGAGCCGCCAAATCTGCAGCTACTCAAGAATTTCCCAGCATTTTATGGAACCCGAAGGCTCATTACCGTGTTCACAAAAGCCCTCCACTGGTCC